TAAGATGAAAATAAACAATGGTTGTTTTAAGTGACTCGGGTCATGCTTCCAAAAAAAAAAAAAAAAAAAAAATGACTCGGGTCATTGAACTACCCTATTCAGAAAATCAGGTTGATTTTTTATTGACATAAAATTATTTTGACCGTAATTTTATAATTTTTCGTTTTATTGAGTCAATTGATCATAAATTTTGGAGTAAGATTAACAACAACAACAACAACAACAACAACAACAACAACAACAACAACAACAACAACAACAATAATAATAATAATAATAATAATAACACATTATGATCCAAGTCAAGATCAATTACATTATTTGAAGAAGTTAGAATAATAATGCATAGTAGGCCTAGCTTTTGTATGGGATTTATATAGTAAACGTAACAATCGACTAAAATGTGTATAAGCAAAGTCAAGATTAATTACATTATTAGAAGAAGCTAGAATAATAATGCATAGTAGGCCTAGCTTTTGTATGGAATTTATATATAGTAAACGTAAGAATTGACTTAAATGTGTATAAGCAAATAACCGTCTATATATATACACACACATATATACTCATAATTCGTTTAAATGCATTATCAATCAAAAGTCGTAATCTAGGATTCTGTTGAAGAATTAATTTGTTTGTACATTTTTCGTAATAATTTACGACTTAAGTGTTACAAACTCATTAATAATAAGTAAGTGTACATTTAATTCCCTTATTAATTAGAATTAAGTAGATCAACTTTACTTTCATCATATCATTTACAAAATTAAATTACATCGAATTTTTTAAAAAAGTTAATTATTACGGAGTATATATTTATGTTTGTTGGACACAGTAACTAACTCTTGACCTTTGGTTAAAGGTGAATAAGTCTCTTCCACTGAACCACACCCTACAGATAAAATTTCCATATAGTTAAGTAAGTATTTACCTATTATAAAGACTTGCCACACATGTGAACTTACGGGCAATTTGTAATTTACCATTGAGTAAAAAGTATGGTAGGTAGTGAAGAAATTAAACATGCATCCATGCACCCATCAGCTTCAAATCCTTGTACAGTGTGCTGTGTGAGTTGTACGTTGGTAGTTGGAGGCTGGTAAAATTAATTTAATGGTTGTCCGTCCTTGGCTCCTAGCTAGCTATGATCTATTAATAGAACTTCTATTGATGTGCAAGTGAAGAAAGCAAGTTTGAACTCCATTTTGGATTCGAAGAAAATGTGATGAAGCTAAGAACGAAAGTAGGGGAAAGGGAAGATGCAAGAAGGAGAAGAACGAAAGAGCTAAGAACGAAAGTTCAAAGAAGATGCTTTGAACTCCAGTTTGAACTCTCTTTTCTCTGCACTTCTACCTCTTGCATCTATTAATGTGGAACAAAATATAAAAGGAGTTTATATGTAAGATCCCCATATAACAACGCTCTGATACCCATTCTGCTCTAATAACATTGCTCTGATACCACCTAATCTGGCTAACAACGCTCTGATATCCATTCTGCTCTAACAACATTGCTCTGATACCACGCTACTCTGTCTTGGTTTTGATTTCCCATGTATAGAGTAGCTTTTATATATATATATTCTTCCCATTGTCCCATATATATACGGTTTCTGAAGAGGAATCCTAAACCTATGCTAAGCTACTCTATACATGGGAAATCAAAACCAAGACAGAGTAGCGTGGTATCAGAGCAATGTTGTTAGAGCAGAATGGGTATCAGAGCGTTGTTAGCCAGATTAGGTGGTATCAGAGCAATGTTATTAGAGCAGAATGGGTATCAGAGCGTTGTTATATGGGGATCTTACATATAAACTCCTTTTATATTTTGTTCTACATTAATAGATGCAAGAGGGAGAAGTGCAGAGAAAAGAGATATGCACTTCTCCCTCTTGCATCTTCCCTTTCCCCTACTTTCGTTCTTAGTTTCATCACATTTTCTTCGAATCCAAAATGGAGTTCAAACTTGCTTTCTTCACTTGCACATCAATAGAAGTTCTATTAATAGATCATAGCTAGCTAGGAGCCAAGCACGGACAACCATTAAATTAATTTCACCAGCCTCCAACTACCAACGTACAACTCACACAGCACACTGTACAAGGATTTGAAGCTGATGGATGCATGGATGCATGTTTAATTTCTTCACTACCTACCATACTTTTTACTCAATGGTAAATTACAAATTGCCCGTAAGTTCACATGTGTGGCAAGTCTTTATAATAGGTAAATACTTACTTAACTATATGGAAATTTTATCTGTAGGGTGTAGTTCAGTAGAAGAGACTTATTCACCTTTAACCAAAGGTCAAGAGTTAGTTACTGTGTCCAACAAACATAAATATATACTCCGTAATAATTAACTTTTTTAAAAAATTCGATGTAATTTAATTTTGTAAATGATATGATGAAAGTAAAGTTGATCTACTTAATTCTAATTAATAAGGGAATTAAATGTACACTTACTTATTATTAATGAGTTTGTAACACTTAAGTCGTAAATTATTACGAAAAATGTACAAACAAATTAATTCTTCAACAGAATCCTAGATTACGACTTTTGATTGATAATGCATTTAAACGAATTATGAGTATATATGTGTGTGTATATATATAGACGGTTATTTGCTTATACACATTTAAGTCAATTCTTACGTTTACTATATATAAATTCCATACAAAAGCTAGGCCTACTATGCATTATTATTCTAGCTTCTTCTAATAATGTAATTGATCTTGACTTGGATCATAATGTGTTATTATTATTATTATTATTATTATTGTTGTTGTTGTTGTTGTTGTTGTTGTTGTTGTTGTTGTTGTTGTTGTTAATCTTACTCCAAAATTTATGATCAATTGACTCAATAAAACGAAAAATTATAAAATTACGGTCAAAATAATTTTATGTCAATAAAAAATCAACCTGATTTTCTGAATAGGGTAGTTCAATGACCCGAGTCATTTTTTTTTTTTTTTTTTTTTGGAAGCATGACCCGAGTCACTTAAAACAACCATTGTTTATTTTCATCTTAAAAAAAAAAAACTAAATAGATAGATATAATTGGAAATTGAATGAATAAATTAATTTTTTAATTGTATGTAGGGACGTCAATCTTAATCTAAAACTTATGAATTGATCCCATAAGATCAAAAACATTTAAGGTTAGGGTCAAAAAATATTCATCTTGACAAGAATTTGCTTGATGTCTTGAATGAGGTAGTCCAATAGCCCAACCATTTAAGAAAACTATTCTTTGTTTCATAATTAACGTGGAACAAAATATAAAAGGAGTTTATATGTAAGATCATATTCAAATTTTTTATTAAATTTGTAATAAAATCATAATAAATTTATTTCAAAGGGAATGAAGGAGAATTGAGTGCGAATGTATGTGTTTTTTTTTTTTTTTTTTTTAAAGAAAATATGGGCGTTGTTACCATGCATGTGATGATGCGTAGTACAGTTAAAAAAAGATTTATATGGATGGGTTGCTATGATGCAATTAATTTTACCCATGCGATGAATTTCAATCTCATTAATTATTACCACAAAGGCATTAATTTTACCAATTAATTGACTCTTTGTGCTTCAGTAGGTTGATAAAATAATTATGAACAAAAAAAAAATTTGACAAATGAATGGTTGCAACTTCTCGAGTGGGAATTATTAGCTATTTGTTTTGACATTTATTTCGGTTATCCATCCCATTCCAATAAATATGCATGGATTTTGAAGAGGAAATTAATTAAGGAGGAATCAAAATTAATATATATAGGCCTGCTAGTGCTAAGTTACATCATATCCCCTTCAATTTACCCACTTATATCTTCTAATTTTTCCATTTTCATCTCCCATCTCAAGTTGTAAGCTTCTCTGCTGCCCCCTTTAATTTGTGGCACATCCACATCTCACGCTTATATATATCCAGTCAATCACTTAACTTGTGTAAGGTGCAAATAGTACAATAATTAAATGTCAAAACAAAGAGTTTTTAATTATCTCTCGAGAGATTATAACCATCCACATGACAAAAAAATTCTAGTAGTATTTATAAGCTCGAGACCCTCCAACTTTCAGTCCTAACTACTCGAGCTACTATACTATAATTTTTATTCATATTCGTATACCCGAAATTATTTACCATAAATCAATGACAACCGTTAGAATACGTGTAGCTGATAAAAGAAGTGATATCTGCAAACTTTAATTTTATTGTGTGATTAGTGAAACATGTTAGCTTTAATTCTAGAAATCGATAAAGTATTGCATGCATGATGCCACTGATGCATTATTATTTTTTTGTTGGAAACTAATAATAATAATAAAACATTTCCACCTTTTCCCATTGATCATTCCATATTTTAGTACTTCACTTATTTTGGATCATAATTATTGTTATTATTTCTTTTGACAAAATGTTTCCATTATAGCCCTCAAATGCATCCCATATTCACAATGACGCACGTTATTTCAATAATTACTGTGTGTGTATGTAGGTTCCCGTGCGATTGTGTGTCACGTGCAATTGTGAGGTGATATGAAAGCCATTGATCTTGACGATGTTTAGGAATAACAATTTTTTTTAAAAAATGTGGTAGTGTATAACGCTATTAATTACAACATATACGAAAATACCATTATAGCATTACCCCGCACTCCGGACACTCTAATAACAACGCTCTGATACCCGTTTTGCTCTAACAACATTGCTCTGATACTATCCTATTCTGACAATAATATTTTTGGAAATATTTTTTGACGCAGTTAGTTAGAAAACACTTTTGGTTTTGTATCAGAGCAAAAGTTGTGTTGAAATTAATTTTGGCCTGGTATCAGAGCAAAAATTGTACTTCAATATCAAAGTAGATTACATGTTCAAAATTATAATGTTGTGATGTCAACGACTTTAACTTCAACATACAATACAATTCGACCTTAACTTCTCTTTATTCAACATCTCCCCTCTTGATTTCAACGTGTATACCATCTCATTATGAAACATGGATTCCAAAGTAACATTATCAGCTATGTTCGTAGTCTTCTTCACTATAGCAATTCTGCGTCGTCATCGCTCTCAGGCTTTAACCGATGAGGAATGCTTTAAAACCCGAGTTATCTTTAATTTTGGAGACTCTAAATCTGACACCGGTGGTTATGCCGCTGTTAATGGCCAGTTTTATGGATTCGGCTCCCCATTGGTCGTTCATTTTTTGGCAACACCAATCGTTTGTGCGATAGACGGTTAATAATCGATTTTATATGTAAGCAACTAACATTTTCCTTTATTTTAATTTATTATCTAAATAATTAATGCTAGTTTCATCATATCTATCATATCATAGTATTGGCGTAGATTGATGCATGCATGTTCATTCACAAGTGGGAGTGTGAAGGCGCACTACTTGTCTCGATGTCTAGAATCTCTCACATCAAGCTTTGAAAATGGAGTCAACTTTACTATAGTTGGCGCCAAGATAATCCAGAAAGATGATTTTTTTTACTTTGAGTACTCTTCTCCTTAAAATTGCACGCAACAGGTTTTGTTTTTAACTTTATAATCTAATGAATTACTATATATTACAAATTAATGGTTAATCCAATAAACAGGGACCAAGGGCACTTTTGGGGGTATTGATTTCAAAAATGCGTTGTACATAATTGACATAGGCCAAAATAATATTTCCAGTGCCTTTGTGGACAATCACCTCTCAAAGCCTCAAGTGATTTCAAATATTACATCTTTCACATATCAAATCAGAAGTGCTATTTCGGTATGCTCAATTCTTTCTTCTCTAACTTCTTTTCTTTTCCAATTATATATATATATATATATATATATATATATATATAGAAGTTATACCGAGTTGGAGGGAGAAACTTTTGGGTACACAATACTGGGCCACTAGGTTGTCTGCTTTACATGCTTGTGAAAATGGGAGGAAATGTGGTTACTAAATTTGACGAGATTAGTTGGTTGTCTAAAGTCTCTAAATGAAGTTGCCCAGGAGTTTAACTCCATACTCTTAGAACTTTGTGAAGAGTTGAGGTTTGAACGGTAGGATTCTGTCATTGTGTACGTGGATGTGTACACGATCAAGTACAATCTCATTTTTAACTTTGCCCTTTATTTCATCCGTGCATCGCACGTGTCTCGCACGGGTAATTGGACAATTATTTGTTCAAATTCGAGCAAGAATAAAATTAAGGTTTGCGTAATATATATAAAAACAAAATCCTTCATTTTAATTTCCCGCCCAAAACACTCCTATACTATTAATTAAGGTTTGCGTAATATTGTAAAATATGGTAATACAATTCTTATTCGTAGTACAATTCTACATTAAAATATGGTAATACAATTCAAATACAATATATTCTTTCATTCTTTCTTATTCCTAATACAATTCTAGATTAAAATTACTAATCTATCTATACTATTAATAAAAAACAAAATCCTACTTTTGTAGTTTCCCGCCCAAACTACCTCCAAATCAATATTATTATATAAAATCTAATAATTATTATGGTAATTAAACTAATAATTATAATTACACGAATATTTATACTATATATAAAAACAAAATCCTCCATTTTAACTTCTCACCTAAAACAATCCTATACTATTAAGATTTGCGTAATATTGTAAAATAGTGTAATAAAATTCCTAATAGAATATATTGTTTCATACTTTCCTATTCGTACTATAATTCTACATTAAAATTCCTATTCTAATATTATAAAATAGTGTAATACAATTTCTAATAGAATATATTATTTCCTACTTTCCTATACGTACTACAATTCTACATTAAAATTACTATTCATAATACAATACAACAATATTAAAATTCATATTTCTATTCAACAATATTATATTATTCCTTTTCCCGTTAAAAATTATATTCTCCATTCTTAGTTTTGTAATTCTCCGTTAATTCTTTGCTAAATTTACTAAATTTCAAACTCCCATTAAAACTCAATTGCCTGGCTGAATAATGGTCAGAAAGTAATTGATATGTATTTAAAAAGAATAATTTTCTGAAAATAAAAATTGCACGAAAATTAGGCCAATTCAAAAAAGGAAGTGAATATTAATAATTAGCTAAAAATTAAAAAATGATCCCAAATTAACCGAAATGAAAAAGGAAATCGCCAGACCGTCCAAACAATAGTATATGTAAATTGGAAAAGAAATATGTTATTAATATTTGACTGAAAATTTTTAAAAAGAATTTGCTATTAATAATTAACTAATTGATATGTATTGAATAAAAATAATTGACTGATAATATAAATGGCACGAAAATTAGGCCAATTGAAAAAAAAAATGAATATTAATAATTGACTAAAAATTAAAAAAGATTCCCATATTAACTATTTCGAAAAGGAAACATATTAACTATAGTATAGGTAAATTGGAAAACGGTATCTGTTATTAATAATTTATTAGAAATATAAAAAAATATGTTATTAATAATTAACTAATTAATACATATTCAAAAAAAATGGTTGAGAATAAAGATGGCACGGGAATTAGGCCAATTGAAAAAAGAAATGAATATTAATACTTAATTTAAAATTAAAAATGATCCCAAATTGACTCAAATGAAAAAGGAAATGGCCAGATCGCTTACACAATAGTATATATAAATTGGAAAAGAAATCTATTATTAATATTTGACTGAGAATATTAAAAAAGAATATGTTATTAATAATTAACTAATTGATATGTATTAAAAATATAATTGATTAGGAATATATATGACATGAAAATTATACCAATTGAAAAAGAAAATGAATATTAATAATTGATTGAAAATTAAAAAGAATTGTCGCCAAACACCTTGTGCTCAGATGGCACCTCTGTGGAGCCCTTTGAAAAAATGTCACAAGATCGAACCCTGTGCTGGGGGATTAACTATAGTATATGTTATTAATAATTAATTGGAAATATAAAAAATTGTTATTAATAATTAACTAATTAATATATATTAAAAAAATAAAAAAATTGGTATTAATAATTAACTAATTAATATGTATTAAAAATGAATAATTGACTGAGAATAAAAATGACATGGAAATTAGGCCAATTGAAAAAGTAAATGATTAAAAATAAAAATTGAAATATGTTATTCACGATGATTAAAAATGGCACGAATCTGACATAAGAGGTGGTATGGTCACTGATTCATTGCATGAAATGACATAAGAGGTAGATGCCTTTTAAATCTGGTACATGGACCTTCTAACCACGAGGATATTATTTACACTGTTGCGGGGGTCATTCACAAATCGTTTAGAGATGCGTGTTATGAATATGGATTATTAGATGATGACAAGGAGTACATTGACGGTATTACTGACTTGAGTTACTGGGCATCCGCTTATGCTTTGCAAAGGTTATTTGCTAAGTTGCTCACTTCAAGTTCAATTAGTAGGCCAAGGTGGTGTGGAGTGTCGTTTGGGAATTTCTTGCGGAGGATGCACATCTTTAGCATTGACGTCTCATGCAAAATCCAGGTATATCGGCATCCAATCTATTTATTCGACTTTGTTATTTGCTTATCATTATTTCTAAATAAACTAATTTGTTGATTTTTTTTTTTGGTCTATGAAGAGTTAGTGTTATCGGACTCGGATAAGAAACAATTCACTCTGGTGGAGTTAGAGAAGTTGCTATCTCTGTTGGGGGCAAGAGCTTGAGAGACTTTCCAGAAATGCCAATTCGAAACGAAAGCAGCATGGGTTTGATGAAAGACATGTTGATAGCTGAAGAGTTGGTGTATGACAAGGAATCGTTGAAGACAAAACATAATGGTAACACAATTTACAGACGAAAAAAAAATAAGAATGTCTATGACTCTGTGATGAATGATATTGATCTAATGGAGATGGATTGTTCTTTGTGTATGGTTACGGCGGAACAGGCAAGACGTTAGTGTGGAGAACGTTATCTTCAAAGATAAGGAGGCGCGGTGATATTGTTCTCAAAGTTTTTTCGAGTGAAATAGCATCTTTGCTCTTACCAGGTGGCAGGACGGCGCATTCCAGATTTGCTATACCATTCTCTTTGAGCGAAGATTCCACGTGCAATATATCGTAACCTTACTAAGCTTATAATAAGGAGCAAATTGATAATATAGGACGAAACAGTGATAACGCACAAACATTGTTTTGAGGCTTTGGATACAACCATGAGGGATCTTTGAGGTTCGCCATACGGGGTAGTGATGTAAAGACATTTGGTGGAAACACAGTAGTTTTGGGAGGCGATTTTAGACAGATTATTCTGGTTATTCCGAAAGCAACTAGACTAATAGTTGTTGCAACCACTATTAATTCTTCCTACCTTTGGACAAATTGCAAGGTATTGAGGTTCACGAAAAACTTGAGATTATGGGGCTTAGCTTCAGTGGAAGATAGACAGACAGTTGATTGGTTTTCAAAATGGATTGCAGACATCGGAGATGGGATTACAAGGGTTGTAACGACGGTTTGTATGAAATCGATATTCCAGCATGGTTTTTGTTTAAGTGTGGACTCGATCCTATAGCAACTATAGTGGAAAGCACTTTCCCAAAAGCGAGATATGACATGCTTAATGAGTCGCACCTAGAAGGCCAAGCGATCCTCTCACCGACTTTAGATGTTGTTGATCAAATTAATCACATGTGCGACATGAACACTGCAGAAGGTCGAACATATTTAAGTTGTGACTCTTTGTGTAAGGCATAATTAGATGGTGAAAATCTATCAGAAGTACACACTCCTGAATTCGTAAATAGTTTGAGATTTTCTGGACTTCCTAATCATTCATTTACATTAAAGGTTGGTGCACCTGTTATGTTATTGCAGAATATAGACCACTCTATTGGTCTTTGCAATGATATGTGTTTCTTTGTCACAAGATTGTCCGATCGCATTGTTGAAGCAAGAATAGTTAATGAGACTAACGAAGGAACCAAAGTTCTTATCCCCCGAATGTCTCTCACTCCTTCTGATACAAGATTGCCCTTCAAGTTCCAGCGTAAACAATACCTGTTGATGCTCGCATATGCCATGACTATCAACAAAAGCCAGGGACAACCAGTAACTCACGTTGGGTTATTGCTGAAAAACCGATCTTTAATCACTGTCAATTGTACATATAGCTTTTTCACGAGTCACCCATCGTCTTAATGGCCTGAAGGTGTTAGCTCTAGACAAAGATGGACAAGATTCTGTTGCTACTACCAATGTCTTCTATAAAGATGCTTTCAATAATGTGTAATTCCAACCAGTAATATTATGTTTTTTTTTTTTTTTATGCGAAGATGGCAAAATTATATCTACACAGAAAATATATCTTCCACAAATAAATTAGGATAACAAATGATTTCTATAATTGAGTTGCTAGACAACGAGCAAATTTGCCCAATTAATACAAATCCTAAACACTGATATATAAATTCTCTAAAGTTTCAGCACCGGATTCGTACATCTACACATTAGCTATAAATTGGGTAATTATTTGTTCAAATTCAGTAATGATAATATCATAAAATACAATCGATCAAACTCAATTCTTCAATTGCATTATATAATATTCAATGTAATAATTTATATAATTGTATATCGATCCAAATATTCTTAAAATATTATAATAAATCCATTATGTGCATCGCACGGGTGAAAATACTAGTCTATACTATATATAAAAACAAAATCCTGAAGTTTTAACTTCCCGCCCAATTCCTAAAAAATCTCTCTTCCTAATAAAATATATTGATTTCTATTTTCCCATTCGTACAATAATTCTGCGTTAAAATTCTACTCTAATATTATAAAATAGTGTAATACAATCTATATCTATACTATCTATACTATATATAAAAACAAGATCCTGAAATTTTAACTTCCCGCCCAATTCCTAAAAAATCTTTCTTCCTAATAAAATATTTTGATTTCTATTTTCCCATTCGTACATTAATTCTGCGTTAAAATTCTATTCTAATATTATAAGATAGTGTAATACAATCTATATCTATACTATATATAAAAACAAAATCCTCTCTTCCTAATAAAATATATTGATTTCTACTTTCCCATTCGTACAATAATTCTACGTTAAAATTCTATTCTAATATTATAAAATAGTGTAATACAATCTATACTATATATAAAAACAAAATCCTGAAATTTTAACTTTCCGCCCAATTCCTAAAAAATTTCTCTTCCTAATAAAATATATTGATTTCTTTTTTCCCATTCGTACATTAATTCTGCGTTAAAATTATATTCTAATATTATAAAATAGTGTAATACAATCTATATCTATACTTCTATACTATATATAAAAACAAAATCCTGAAATTTTAACTTCCCGCCCAATTCCTAAAAAATCTCTCTTCCTAATAAAATATATTGATTTCTACTTTCTCATTCGTACAATAATTCTGTGTTAAAATTCTATTCTAATATTAAAAAAATAGTGTAACACAATCTATCTATACTATATTTAAAAACAAAATCCTGAAATTTAACTTCCTGCCCAATTCCTAAAAAATCTCTCTTCCTAATAAAATATATTAATTTCTACTTTCCCATTCATACAATAATTCTGCGTCAAAATTCTATTCTAATATTATAAAATAGTGTAATACTATTCCTATTCTAATCTATATCTATTTTATATATCAGTGTTGCAAAAATCGTGTCGCTGGCCGCGGCGAGGAAGGCTGGAATCGGCCTCCTCAGCGGCCGCCTCGGCGGCTAAACTGGACTTTAATTTTTTTTTTTTTTTTTAAGTTGTAAAGTGTCAAAAGTTCGGCAAGGCATAACTTTTGACACCGTTGTCCGTTTTGGACAAATGTTTTTTTGAAATTGCGTATTTTTTCGAGATCTATCCACCGCAAACTGCTGTAGGCGGTTTGGCCCACCAATTTCTAAAAAAAAAAATACTTTATTAAAGAGTTTCTAAGAAAAAACTATGAGAACCTTATATTTTATTAATGAATTTTTAAAATTTTTAATTAAACTATTGTCTCGTGCATTATTTAATAATCTTTCTTTATAATTGGTCAAATTATTTAATTATGGTAAATTTTGGAATAATTAATGATGGTAATAGAAATCCTAGAAGAATATAGAATTGAACAATATTTAATTATTGTTATATTATTATTGTGACTCACGGAATACAAGAGTTAATGCCATTTTTGGTCCTAAACTTATTGGGGCATTGACACTTTTCATCCTCCATAATAAAAATTGCCACTTAGTAGCCACTATTATTGATCGTTGGACAGTTTTGATCCTCCGTCAATGACGCCGTTTGTTGACCGTGAATTAGATGAGTTTTTCTGTCTTTTTATGTTCTAATCCTTGTATTTCTCCATCTATTGGTCACTGCTACATCCATTTCTTCAAACTGAGGTTATCCGCTTCAGTCCTTTCTAATATTAAGAAACCATCTTCACCCAACTAACAATCACGAATTTTACATTTGACATCAATCTCAAGATAATGGAAACAAGTGCAGTTGGAATAGAAAGGGCATTAGTCCATGCCTGTGGAAATTTTGTCGAGCATACAACATAACTAGCAAAGTCAGGAATATCACCCAACCCCTCCCTTAACCTTTCTGCATCAACTATAATAGGTATGCCCCTACTCTTTGCCTCCTGCACTACAATCAAAGAAGTCTCATGCAGCCTTCCATCTAAGTAGACAATATTTACTCCAAGCGTTGAAGAAAATTTTGATTTGGGTATGTAGATCCTCAAATATCATGGGTGGATATCCTGGAGTGAAAATGCACGTGCGAGTTTTTTTTTTTTTTTTTTTTTTTTTTGGTTGTCAACAATGACATATGTGAATGGTGAGTTTCCTCCTTTGGACACCACCATAAAAGATGTATCAACACCATCCCTTTCAAGCTCATCAAGTATTCTTTCGCCATGTGAGTCATCAGCAACCTTAGATATGATCCTTGAATTAAGACCAAGACGAATTTTATCATCCGGGTTTTATCAAAGCATTGCCAGTGTTACCACCTCCTTGAACCTCAAAGCTGGTGCTCCGAATTTTATCATCCGGGTTGGGGAATGAAGCTACAGCAGCCAGGAAGTCAACACCGGCCATTCCAACACCTCAAACAATGCAATTTTTGGGGAGCGGCGGATTCCACATTTTCAGCTTGAAACTTCAATGAATTTCAGGTAGAATAATAGAGTTTTTGAGGTTGTGCACCAAGTAGTTGTGGTAGAGAGAGATGGGAAGGATATTTGTGGTCAATATGGAAGGGAGGACTTACAGGTGCAAATTCTACATCACGCCATCTACAACTACAACTGCTATTTACCATAAGAGGGTTCGCCGACCTGCTGCCCTCTCTACTTCGCCGGAACCAAAAACCACCGGTGAAGGCCCCAACCTCGCCGGATCTGTTTCTGCACCGCCAGATCTGCCTTACTGGTCCGTCGCCTGAAGGAGTTACTGCCTCGTATGCTCGCCGCCGTACCCACAACTCGCCGGAGAAGAACCTCGCTGCTACTCACTACCGACGGTTACTACTTAGCCGCCAAGTCTCGCCATCTCGCCTCACAGGAGTCACAGCAGCGCTGGTCTAAACAAGATTAGAAGAATAAGACATAAAAAGATAGAAAAGCCCTTCTAATTCACGGTCAACAAACGGCTTCATTGACGGAGGATCAAAACTGTCCAACGACCAATAACAATGTCTACTAAGTGGCAAGTTTTATTATGGAGGATGAAAAGTGTCAATGCCTCAATAATTCTAGGACCAAAAATGGCATTAACTCCGGAATACAATACAAGAATATTTAATTATAGTTATATTATTATTGTGCCTCACGACCATTATATACTAACATTACTTGAAAAGAAACTAATAATAATAATATAATAATAATAATATAAGTGGTAATAATAATATCTAAAAGTAATTAAGTGTTAATAATAATAGTAAGAATATTAACGTAAGAGTTGTAACATAGAATAAATTGTAATAATTAATAACTATAGTCTAGGATTAAATTTGAAATTGTCAGGAAAGATAAACGACCTCTGGTGAAATTAACTCTTAAATAATTATATATCGATTTAAATATTCTTAATATATTACAACAATTCCATTCCGTGCATCGCACGGGTGAAAATACTAGTTTTTATAACAACAAATATTATAGTGCAATTGATGAAATGAGTTTGATTGATTACGTTCTCTGATTTTATCTTTAATTTGCTTGAATTTGAACAAATAATTGTCCAATTACTCGTGCGAGACACGTGCGATGAAATCTTTTAGTGTGTGTGTCGGGGGCGGGGGGGCTTGAATACTTACAAATTTAGCATATGTTAAAATTTATACATGTTTTGCTTCAATTCTCACTTCTAGACAAATTTTTCAAGACCTAGCATTGGTACGTTATAATCAATCGATGCTAGCTAGAGCCATAACGTACTTTTTCCATTCAATTTTAATTTTAAATGACACTTCAGCATCAGCTCGTCCCAACTTCAAAAGTATTCTCACAAGACCTATAGCTAGCACCAATGCATGGTGGTGGTTCAATTAAAATAAGCACTACGGTGTAAAATGACACATACATTAGCATTGATTACGATCCATGCATGTTACGTTCAAATATTGATGATGTTCTGATCTGCTTTTGTGAAATAGTGAAAGTTAGTGTGTGTAGATAATTGTGCCTGAAATTATACATGGAATTAAAGAAATTGCAAGCAAAGAAACTTAGAACTTATGATGAGAGATATGAGATATGATGGAATGGGAGCAGAATAGCAGATCAGAAGAAAAGTGAGAGATATGAGATATGATGGAATGGGAGCAGAATAGCAGATCAGAAGAAAAGTGGAGTGAAGTTAAAGTTGAAAGAAAGTTGGTGGTGGTTGAGGGCCCGCAGTAAAGTTGTTGATATATACTACTGTAGCATTTTGTTTGATGCACAAAAATTCATACCCAACATTAAAATATTAAAATATTGATAAATAAAAATAATTAAAAATTATTATTCAAATTATATATGCACAAATAATATATGTATTTAGTACACACACACACACACACACACACACACACACACACACACACACACATATATATATATATATATATATATATATATATAATTTATCATTCATAGAAATTTAATTAGAGTATAATCAAGCATTAAATTAATTATATAATGATTTTAATAAAATGATAATTAAAAAGTAGAAAAAAGATATGATAGATATAGGTGCATG